CCCTGTCTGTACCAGAGGACCGTGGTTAGTATAACTATGAGAGACTAGGTAACATCACGTAGACTCATGCATGCTCGTTGGAAGGTTTCAGTCATTAGGGCTGCCATACAAACAAGTTCTACAAAACCCGCTCTCACATTTCAAACTGCTTGTTTTATATCTCTACATCAGAAAGTGCATTTTAGCAAATTTTAAATTAGGAGGAGAGGGAATTTTACCCTATTTTCTTTGGAAAGAACATTGGATTGCAAATTATTTTATCTTTCATTCAATTTAGAATATAATAATGTACAATCCAATGTTTTACACTCACTAATGTGAAGTAGGGGAAAATTCAGACAGGAATTAGGAGGACAGAGTACTCATTAGTTGAAAAGCAGCTGGTAGCCAGCTGGAGAATAATCAGAATAATCTTGTATAGCTTTGTCTTTTTACTGGTCTGAAAGGACAGCCCCAGAAAGACACTTTTAAAAAACCAAAGACTCTTACTATTGAGGTCAATTCAGATGGAAGGGCTATTAATAACTTTTGGGGGTCTGAGTGGGGTGGGAAAGAGAAATGTTCTACATGCTGGGAAAGCTCTTACCAATCTTTTCTTCAGATATAGATCTTCAAGAGCATCCTCTGACTGCACAGTCAGGCTCAACACTCATACTGTGCCCTTGTACTGTTTGCAAAGAACACCTCATTCCATGCCACTTTCCTTTAAATAAATTAATTTTTCTGGTTTGACTAATTAGCTGTAGGAAGAAGCAGACAATTTTTCTGTTTACACAAAAAGAACCATGAAACTGGAGACCCTCTGCGCATATCAATAACAAGCTAAATAAAAAAGATGTTTGCTACCTAATATGGGGGATAAAGATTAACTTTTCGGTGGCAAAACACAGTCTTTTTTCCAATGCCAATGGTTTGAATAAAATCTAGGAAGTTTTACACCTGGAAATACATTAACCATGCTTTTTTACTTGTTGTGATCTTTTTAAATATTGTGGTTGTTCAATCTGTTCCTCAATATTCAAACTGAAACTATGTAGTAAAGGTTTATCATTCTAATTAAAGTCAGTTTTTGCATTGTGTGATTTATTTTATGTACCTACTTGCATCCTTACCTGTATTTAGATGGAGCTGCAATAAACAATAAACAAAATTCACACTTTCCATAAAATCACCACATGATGAATACAGTATTAGTATCCTCTGCATTATTTCACATGAGCAATAGACAATGAATGGCCACTGAGTGAAGAACTGAAGTGATCTATGAAGTACGTATCACCTTCAGTTCTTCAGCTCTATTATTACAATTGCTTTCCCATTTTCTGGTAGAAAAAGAGGAAACATTGTCCTAGGAAAGGAGGAACGCATCACACTTATCTGTGTTGAGAGTGCCATTTTAGAAAAGAACACTTGCTAGATTAGCTGACTAACTTCACACCTGGGATGTGAATCTCTGTGGATTTAAAGCATCTCACAGATGAGCACCATGCTGGTTATCGTACTTCAGCTTTACCAGCTGGTAAATGCTTCTCTGCATTGCCAAGGTCATCAGGACTTTAATCAGCAGCTACAGCATTAGCCACAAGCTTCCTTGCTACATTTCCTGGGCAATGAGAGATACCAGAAGCTGTAAGAGGACTTCTGGAGATCTGAATTTGCAGTAACATCAGTCACAAGTGCCACCCCACACAAGGATATACATTTACAGTCATGAAATGGGACAGTGTTTTGGTTTGCGGGTGTACAGACCACCTGTCCTTGTATACGAAGCTCTGTGAGGCGCACCACTCTGCATTCCCTCAGTGGGCTCAAAACCTGAAATGCTTGCAGAGTTCAAACCTGAGGCAACAGTTGTCAACAATTTTGTGTCCTTATACTGGGTATTGAATCACACTAACCTGTCTCCACACAGTTGTATTTATAGCCAGACACTTTTTATATATATATATATATGAATAGATAATTATCTATGTATTATACAGATAGATCTTCTTATACATACACATGCCTGTGTGGCCACAACAATGCAGAAAAAAATTATCTCTGCAGCTATGCCATCCCCAGGAAGTAAAAGTAAGGCACATCTCACAAGCTTTATGCTGCAACCACCTTTGCTGAATTTGCAACACAATCTCTGATGATTGCTGCATTATATCTAACTTCTAGTAAAAATCTGTGTAATCAAATAGAGCTCATATTCCTGAACCTTGCCTATTCCTTCAGCAGTTGACAATGAAATATGGCTGTAGCCATTAACTACAGCTGTCAAAATGCCTGAGATAAATCTTAAATACTTGCCAGTTGACTGAGGACATTTCAGTTTGCATCTATAATGTTTGTTATTCTGCACTTCTATCTTCTGGAGGAAGAAGAGTCATATCATCACAGCCCTCAGACAAACTGACATTAATATGGACTACTGCTTGAAGTTTCAGGAGAGATACCACGGATTCAACAGTCCTTAGAAAATAATGTAGTTCTCATTCTGGAGATGCTTTGTTCAAGAAGAGGATCAAGAGGTAACAACAAAACAGAGAGGTAGGCTGACGCTGGTGTTCTTCAAGTTGTACCTCTTTTGCAGATAACCGCCAGACTCTAAGCCTCTTAAAGTCAGCAAGAGTCTCTCTACTATTTTCAGCAGAATTTGATTACTACCCAAGGACATGTCAATGGTGAAGTTTGTCAGTCCAACAAGCTTGCTAATGGTCACTCATCACTCATTTCTATTTAGAAGACTTCAAACCCAGAAGACACTTATTTTAAAGCTTTTAATTATAAAACCAATACTAAAATAAAGCAGAAGAGTTAAAACTGAAGTACTGCTACAGATGAACATATAACAGAGCACAGACTTTCACATTCACATTTGATAAAAGGTCATCTGATATACACTATTCTAATAAAAATGTAACAAATGCTAACTCATTAAAAGAATAATGGGAACTACATTATATATCATGCAGCACTATAATAGAGCAGAGAGTTTCACAATATCTGGGTAGCATCTGGATAAAGGAAATGGCTGTATTAACAAACATGTCTGGGCTCTGGTTAACTGAAAGGGTTATTTTGCTAGGATTACAAATAAGGTAACTGTACTGTACCATGTACTAATATGAAATTCAAAAATAAAGAAAGGAATCTTTTAAGTTATGGAAAAAACATGAAACCAATTAAAATTTTTATTTTTAAGAAAATTGGCTGGATTCTATATTAGGATCTTATGTGACAACATCAGTTATGTGTATGCCTCTTGCTGAGATTCTGGTTCCATTCAAGTGGCAGTATTCCCACAGACTTCTGAGAATTTCACTCAGACTGTTCTATATTTTTCAGTGGATTTCAAATAAGTCTTCAATAATTCAGAAGGATTTAGCTTTCTACCTCTATTAGGCATCTCTGAAAAATCTAACATTACCACTGCATTTACTTCCCACAGAAGCTAAAGAAGGACTGTAGTATCACTCTCCTATTACTACCACATGGCACATATTCAGCATTAAAAGCATGCTAGCTACATAGGAACATGGACAACTCGTCAGCTGCTTGTTTAAGTTACACAAATTTATACCAGAAAAAATGCATCTACATGTGTGGTTTTGTGCTTGTACCTAGGGTCGGGGACAGACTAGAGGGTAAGGGAGCAGAACAAGGAGGAGTAAATGGTTCTGTGTCACTCACAGTCCTTCCTTTTAATCTCCTCCCAGTTAGCTTTGGCCAGTCCAATTCACATTATGGTGGAACTGCTGTGACTCTTGGTATCCTTCCTTCCTTCCTTCCTTCCTTCCTTCCTTCCTTCCTTCCTTCCTTCCTTCCTTCCTTCCTTCCTTCCTTCCTTCCTTCCTTCCTTCCTTCCTCTATTTCACATATCTAATTCTGTTCAACTGTTCATCAGTTCAACTAGACTGGCCAAACTCTTCAGAATACATTAGCCCTGAAAGGTAATTTATTGCCATAAATAAAACCCTAAAAAGTACAAACTGGGCCCACCATACATATGCTTTGTCTTTAAAGAAAGTCAACACCAGCAATGCTTAACAGAACCACACTCATCAAGAGATTATTCCACGGGTACTGATGGGTCTCTCTTTACAGGAAATACTTGCTTAGGAATGACCTTTTCTAAACCGTGTCCTAAATTACACAGTGACTCAGAGGACTGCCTAATTTCACAGTCAGACAGCTAGTCAGCAACAGTAGATTCACCGCCACTTTAGTCAAAGCAACTCCACAATAAAAGCTAATGTTAAGAGCAGTTTTTCAGAGAAATCCAAGAGCAGCCAGAGACAAGGGCAGCTGTCATGGATGCTCTTCTGTTAAACAGCAGCATGCAATGTCTTTCATTTCTCTGCCAAAATTGTCAGATCTCTGTACCAAGATGGCAGGTGTCACTAAGTGTTGACTCTGTGGAAATACCCCAGACTTTGTTCTTAATTCTTCTTTCTATGCTCCAGGCAATGGAGATAAAACAGAAGCAGGAGCACAAATTCTCATTTCACTTTGTATCTACTATGATTCCAGTGCTTCATCCCCCTCTTGCAATGGGCCTTGCTTTCTAACACAATACACACCTCATTTTTCCCTTTCACAGCACAAAACCAGTCACACCGCCAAGGTTTATTATACCTCTACATAGCAACACTTCACTGTCCCCTTCTTTCCTGTGGGACCAGCTTACATGCTGCAATGTCCAGCCAGCTGGTTTTAAGTGATGGGGGCTACTGGCAGGGGATTACCCAGCAAAACCAAACCAACAAGTAACGCTGGGAGCTACCTTCTGCCCCAGCAGCTGGTGGGCCAGTCTTATGTATAATTCCTCAGGATGAGTTTTTGCTGTTTTGTACTTTTCCTGCCACTGCTGGGAGAGACATACCTGTGAATAAAGTCTGACCTAATACATCCACAAGGCCAAAGGGGCATCCTATCTCTTTTCTTACTTTCTAATTCAGCAGAATGACCTAAGAGACTGAAAGCAGGATGGATGCTGGGTTAGTGAGTGGCTAGTCAGCAGGACTTGAGAGAGGATCACTGGGAAGGACACCTGGTATCAAACTAAAGGAAGCTCTGTTGGGGTCCTGAAGAGTCACAGAAGTGCTGGTGACTGCCTTCTGGGTGGCAGAGGCTTTCTTACCTTCCAGCCAGTATGTTACCATGTCTCCTTTCCCCTAAGGAAGAAAATGATTCATGGTATTATAATACTACCCATCATTTGTGTAATAATCTTCTTATTACAACTCAAAGCAAGTCCCAAAAGGAGACTGATGTGCCTGTCAGCCATTTTATATACAGGAAAACTGAGGCATAAAATGTTTCCTTTAAGATAGTGGCAGCACTACGGATTAAAACTATTCTTTGAAGTCCCATCCAAAACTGGGTCCAGAAGTATGTTAGTCCTCTTATGGAACTCTTACAATGATTTATGATGTCTCTGAATGACCATATTTTATTTCAAGCAGTTATGACAAAGTGACATGCCACACAATACTTCCAAGTTCGCTAAGTCCTTCATCTCTGAATTATCAGCGTAGTCGCATGAACAAGCCCATGGAATTGGTCCCTATTTAAAACTTGAGCCTGTGTTCTTCAAAGACAGGAAACAGTCTAACCCAAGGACTCTGAGACAGAGAGGACTGCACAGGTTAAAATTCAGGGACTCCAGAGTACTTTCACACTCTCCTCTTTGAAAAGCCGAGTATAAATGTTGCATACACACCTTGACTTGTAAATTCCCACGGCATACTAACACATACTCTCCAATCTGCTCCAACAGCTGGTATGCACTTGAACTGCACTGTATTTTAAGAGCTGGAAAGAGAGACAATTGTCATATTATCATCACAACTTAAACATCTAAGACACCTGTCCCCTTCTGTGTGCCACAGACTTCAAGATTCATTAACTCCCCTTTCCTTTTTTCATGTCTTTGCTGTCATTCCTGTGTTATTTGAAATGTTCACACACAAGCTGCAGTATCCCAGCCTTTTTGTGAGAGCATCTCAGGACAAATACATGGCTGTCAACAAACACTACTGTTTACATCCTGCATCTAATATTATTCATCTGCTCTTCATAGCTGCTTGGCTAGAGTTACTGACAAGCATCTTTTTCATCTTGCAAAGAAAACCTTACATAGTTCTGCCTCCTGGTCAATAAAGAGCCAGACCTTTCTTTGCACATACACTTCTCAGCAAACATTAAAGAAACTGCCATCCTTGCTCTGTCTCAAAACCTGTAAATAAAAACGGGGAGAAAAGACAATATTCCATAATTGCATTATTTTTTTTCTTTTTCAACATTGTAATTTCTCCTCAGTTGAGAATTTGTCTTCATGTAAACCCTGACTGTCTTGCCTTTTGCAAATGATGGTGGAAGAACCAAGGAGTAGGACAGATAGAACAAATTATGAATACTCCTACTTTCACCACAAAGCAAAAGTTTGCCAAAATTTGGGAAATTGCAAAAAAAAAAAAACCTGGGTTGTTTTTGCCTTTGCCATCCCACAACACAGAGGAAACCATTATGCTTCGTTGTTTGAAAAAGATGCCAGACGATAGTAGAGCTGGCTAAGATTGTCTTATTATTTTCCTTATATCAGAAAATGATTGTTTTGTAATACCTACTTTGTTTTTCATTGAAAGTCTCAAAATACTCCCTATAGACCAAGAAATATACGTTTCAACATATCCAGACACATATCTCTGAAATATTCTTCCCAGTAGATATGTGATGTTTTAACTGGTCATCCTGCTTGGGAACAAGACACTAGCACTCAGATTCCAGCTGACAGCGATTTTCATTTATATCACTAGTAATCAATCAATCTATTTTAAAGAGATCATCTTAGGGTTAAAACATGTTAATGTAATCTGAGATCCTCAGATGGATGTGGCCAGAGGAAGAGAGAGATAAAAGAAAGCCTTAAAAGCTAAGAAACTCTGTCTTTATACTGAAGTTTGATGTGCCATATGAGAAATAAACTGATACACAGAACAAAAGATGAAATATGAAGAATGATGGAAGCAGATTTTGAAGACATTGGTTACAAAGCAGTTCAGATGAGATACAAGGAGGCTGAAAGGAAGAGGAGAAGGAAAGGAGTTATCTGGGAGACTGACAAGAAAAATAAAGTTATATGTGTTCCACTCAGCCTAGGATTTGCTTTGTAAAAATGTTGATTCTCAAATCCCCAGGCTAAACCTTCAAAGCCATCATGTAGGACCACTCCTCTACCTTTCTGCCCTGTTTTTAGTGGATCGTGATAGATGTTGAAATAATAATTTTTTATAATGAAATTAACTTGAAAACACCTTGGATTTGCCTAATTGAAATCTGTTTACAAAGCATTGCAATGTGAGCCATAAAACTATTCAGCTTCATTTAAATGAAACTAAAACAAGTCATCAAGGTTGTTTGACCTTGAATCACTCCTTTTCTTTTTTTTTCTTTTTTTCCCCAGTTCTTGTAGATGAGGCTAAAGTATTTCTGAAGTTGAGGTTCAAGTGCTCATACTGGCTAAAGATGAAGGTTGCTAACTAAACATGAAGCTCTGTTATCTCCTGGGAAGAAGTTGAAGTCAGGATATCTCCATGATTTAATCTCTAGAGATTTCTGTCTAATCTCTTTGCTGGAGGACACATATATAATCTTCTATACTGGTTAAAGACAGACACAGCTCCCATGGTGTCCTACCATCTCTTGTGTTCTCCATTAGAGGAAATTATCAGCGAAAAAGAGGAATCATGAAAATATTTTTACTATAAATTCAGCTGGGTGCCAGGAAGGAATAGAAGCAGTGAACATTTCTACTTACCTCTCACTTTATCTGATTCTTATCCTTTTTTTATTGCACAGAACTTCAAAGCCATGAAAATCCCTCTCTGAGACTTGGGGAATGAGGGGATCTTGTTACAAAGGTTGTAGAGAATATCACTGGCATAATTTGCCCATAGGCAGATTGGACCCAAAAATCAACATCCTTATTACAGGATTTGCAGTCAATTTAAACAGGACAGGACTCAAAACTCAGCATAACATTTTTTCAGAACTCATTAAGGGATGGTCAAAACTACAGGTACAATTTGTTCCTTGTTACCTTCACTAGTAGATTCCATCCTGGAAGCTGTGTTCACAGTATCTCCAAATAAACAATATCGTGGCATTTTGGTCCCAACAACTCCAGCTACAACTGCCCCTGTTGAAAAAAACAAGATGTTTTGTGGTTTTTCATGACATAATGAGTCATACAGCCTCAGGTCTGCATCCTAGATTGCCTTATATCTCATTCATTATCAAATAAAGACTGTCAGTACTGTATTATACAGGTTATACTTCTGACATACACAGCAAAAGGGCCTCAAAGATGAACGGTCGGGGAAGTTATGCTGTGATGGAGATAATGTACATGAATTAAAGCACCCACAGAATCATATTTCAATGTGACAACAGAATATTTTGAGGGGCAGAGAGGTAGGATTGCCGCCAACAGAAGTTCTGCACACAACGCTCACTAGTCACGCACAAAAGCAGGAACAGGAAGTAACCTGCTCTTGTTGAAGGCAGATAATGAGCATTTTGACTCCTTCATGTCAGCCCCAGAGGATTTAAAATGTAGAAGATATGATCTCTTGCTGAGACAATGTAAGCCACTTAATTTGCAGACGCTGGACTGCAGAACACATGTCCAACTCTGGCTGTCTATCAAGAAGGAGTTGCAATCACACATCAGCTTAGATCAGGGAGCTGGGAGTCTGAGACTGAAGGCTAGATCAAAGAGTCAAGAGGCAACTCACTGTTTTCAGAACGGTTGAAAAGGACAAATAACAGATAGAACAGCAGTCCTCACTCACATCAGCAAAGGCAGTGGGACCATGTGGTGTTTCCGATGTTGTTTTACACATTGTGTATCCAATAATTTATTCTGTTGGGATGACCTCTGTGAGGTGTTCCATCCCATGTCAAGAAATTAACTTCATTCTTATTGGAGAGGAAATGCTTCTACAGAAACACTTGTTAAACCAGAGGAGGACTCTCTTGCAGCACTCTGAACATACCTGAATGGATTCCTGCTCTTATCTTTAGAAGGGTGTTGGGCTTGTGTGGGATCTTAAAAGTCTTGCAGATGTCCAGAAGGTCTAAAGCCATGCTTGCGATCTCACCGGCATGAAGGATCCCATTCTCTTTGGGTACTCCTGACACCACCATATCTTAACACAACCATGCAGCTGTGTTAACTTGTGACATTACACACAAATTTACCAAAGCATGCTGCCTAAGTCAGAAAAAAATAAAGCCCTGTTCCTTCATATCCTGTGGCACAGTTGTGCCTGCTGAGCAGAGAAAGCCAGAAGCAAACGAAGGACAGGGCAACAGCTCATGTGTGTAATTACCCTACCACTAAAAAATGCTGGATTACCTTCTTACTTTTCCAAAAGATTTATTCCCTTCTACCCTTTCTTCCTCCCTCCCTCCATTGAGGATGCTTGAAGTGGGACAGATGATGAGAAAGTGGCTGTTCAATACCTTTTGTCTTTGGGCAGATATTATAAAGAGACAATGAGTTCCACTAGGCACTGTCCTATGTTTCCTGCACTGACTCTTACTGTGTGAGACAAGAGACAGGTCTCTTCAGCATCCCTCAGATGCATTTGTTCAGGAATTTTATGTTCCAGAATGTTTTCAATCACACCACAGAATAAAAAAAAGAATGTGGGGGGATTTTTTCCCACATCTCTTATAGTGTTTCCTGTCTGTCTCATCCAAAATTCTGCTAGATTCTGCTAGGTTTTTGATGGAACTTAGTTTTAATGGTAGTCAATCCCCAGCAGATTCCCATGGTAGCAAATAGAAAGCCATTTTCCTAAAAATCCAAAAAGAAGAGGCAACCAAGCCCCTACAGTACTAGGAGAGACGTTGCCATGGTCTTTGCAAAAAACCCCAGAGATAATAAAGCTTATGGAATGGCATCTTTCCTCCCATGTGGAAGGTAAATTTTTCAGTTGTGTTCCTGTGAAACAGAAGTTGCCAACTGGGATCAATCTGTTGCCAAGGTTTAAAGTCAGACCTTACAGTTCATAGGAACCAAATAAATACCAGCAGTAGTTTACTCAAATCATTTGTCCCATCCACAACATTCATCAACTGTAGAAATGATGAAAGGTATGCTGGAAACTGTTCCTAAAGTTTTCTAGGTCTCTGCTAGGACTTCTCCCCTAATTGTTTTGAGTGGTCTTCCCAGTGGTAATAAGCTTTCCAAATCTCCTTCATCTGTTCTTCTTCATCATCAAATCAGTCTCTATCCTGATGAAATACCCATGCCCCATCATTGTACACAGCTCAAGGAACTTACAGGCATCTCCTATTGTCTCCACCTTATAGACATCATAGTTATCTATGATTTCATCAAAAGTAGTATAAAGCTTGTTCAAGAGATCTACCACTTGGTAGGGTGTGCTGCTGCTGGACAGCTGAGTGAAGCCAACAATGTCACTGTCAAAACACAACAGAAAGAACATACTCATCCACTGTCGTAACCATTGCAGATTGATAATTCTTTACACACAGTAATAATTTCTCAGTGGAACTACCTCAACCTTCTCTTTTTCAGCATTTCTTTCGCTAAAGATCTTGCAGAATAGATTTGTCTTCAAACATTTACTTAAACTGAAAACAGACTCCTTCCATTTAAAAGGTCTGACTGACCTAAGTCTTTTTTGCTTACTAATGCAGTAAACCATTTTTTACAGTCTTCAGTTTTGGGTTATGTATAGATGAAAAAAAGGGAACTTAACATCTGTCCATTTATGACAAGTGAAGACAAGCAATTTATATGTTGCTTCATGCACACATAACAAGTCAAAGACTGTAAATCCATGTGGATTCTAAGGATAGACAAGTTTTCTTTGCACAGCTAAATGCTGGAACCTTTACTTAGGCCTGTCTTATGAAACATACATGCATGTGCGTGGAACACACAAAGTGACATGCTCCTGTGTGTTAGAGCTCCATAGTAATCTCATTTTTTATTTAAGTAATTATATGGAAAAATGGAGAGGTGTGAGAATTTTGAAAGACACCCATTTGCAGAGTCAAATGTTGTCAGCTGGTATGATAAATGGCAGGTTAGATAGAAATTCTGTTCTTGTTTAGGAGCTTCACCTCTACTAGGACCCTTGAAGTTTCTTCAACAGGAGTCAGTTCTAGTCCTATCTTTCATTTTTGTTTACCTGAAAAAGATGGTGGCACTTAAGTAACTTTGAGCTTGTGCATGTTTTCCTTGCCTGAGATCATCTGCCACTTGCTTCGGCAACATACCTGTTGTAGAAAGTAGAGTACTGTTATTCTTTCGACATGGATAAAAGCACACAATAAACAGAGCATGTTTGTTTAAAGGTATAACAATAATGTTCATAAGTGTGAAATACTCTGAAAGTGAAAGCACTCTTTAGCATCAAAATCTGCTCTGCTGCAATGTGAGAGTTCACAGTAAATCTCACTGGTAGTAAATCCAGATTATTCAGATGACCCATAAATTTTAGTTCAAACTAATATGTATACGTTCTAAATCAGAGTTAGATTCTAACACTGTGACTTGGGCTATTACTAACTCCTTCCTTGTCAACTCTTTGCTAGTACTCCCTTCCTGTGTTAGGTTTGCTTCTCTTCTCTGATTTTTTTGATCTTCTTTATTTCTCCTATCTTGCACCTTCACAGCATTTTCCTTTTTCTCTCCTATGTGTTGTACCTGTTCTTTTATTCTATTTTTTTGTGCAGAATTCCAGAAGATACACTGCCATCAAAAGTAACCTCAGTCCAAAAGCAATTCCTAAATGTTTATAACTTTACAGGAGGATTGCCAAGCAAGATCGAATTGAGAGCACTGTGTATTCTGGAGTCATAGCTCTCAGATGACTGCACTGATTTTTAGGGGAAAATAGAAAAAGTAGCTAAATTTCTCTCCAGCTTTGCAAAGAACAAGTATATTAATTAATTGACAACTAAATGTTATCTGTTAAATAATCATCTATCAAAGGCTTTCTATTTGTAGTTAGACAGTTAAAATCAAATTATTAGTGAGAAGAATATCCAATATTTTTGCTATATAACTTACTATACAACAGACGATCAGTCTTCTGTTTCTCATGCATTAAATCCTGGGTTCTCTCAGAAACCAGCATCTCCAGATGTTTGCTATATTTCTCCATCTAAACAACATAGAGAATTGCATAAAATAATCCTTTTACATTAGAGGTCAAACCTAATGCAGAGACCAAACTGCAGACACAGCTTAAAATATGTTACCAAAACTGAAGTTATATCTAATCTAAACTCAGTCTTTTATCAAAAGGTCACAATGCTGTTTCAAAAGCCATCCTGCTATGCTATGCTACGGTTTTTGCATCCTTGATGCGTGTGAGACAACGAGCTGTGGAGGCAGAGGTCTCTTTTCTCTACTGATGGGCTTAAGATACTCTTCTCAAAATGTATCTGTAAACATGCTGTTTGTGGCATGCAGGGATTATATACCCCCAATACTGTAATAACAACACAAAGCCATTGGGAAAAGGCAATAAAGTTTCCTGAAAGAGTTTTAAAAAGCAAACAACATTTGATTGAAGAAACAAAAGTGTTCAGGCCCAAAGAAGTTGAGAAAGTTAAGAAAAACTGACAGAAATGGAATGAGAAGAAAAGCTGGGTCTCAAGCAGAACTGCAGCTACAATCAGCTCATCAGAGTGAATGAATGACTGGATATTCTCACCAAACAAGGGATATGAGATCAAAAACAAACTTGAAGGACAGAGGTGAAAGTTACTACAAGTGAGCAGATTGACTTGGATTGGATTAAAAAACTAAATTTACCAGAGTCATCATCATGTCAACAGGGCTAACTTTATTAGGATTCATCTTGTACAACATTTTCTTGACTTGTTCAAATGTAGGCCTTTGGGCTGGATTATTTTTTCTGCACCTTCTGATTAACTGCAGCAGGAAAAGAGTCAGAAAAGCAAACAACCTTTTGTTATTCCAAGCACAGGCAGTGTTTCTAAATAATACTACTATTTCCTCGGTGCAAATTGTGCATGTAAAGCCCTATCTGCAGCTGGTGAAACATGGCAGAGCTATTCTGAGGTCTCTGGAGTTCTACAGATTTATGCTGAATGAAGGATGTTAGTTCATGAAAGTGCTGCTGTGGGAAATCATGAATTAGATGCTCACATTCCTTCTGTCAAACACTGCTTAAGCTCTTGTCTTGTGCTTTAAGACAGTGATATGCTGTTGGAGTCACAAACTATTTTCAGAGGACTTGTCTGTACACAAAATTCACAAAAAACAGTGCTGCTTATAAGAAGTTTGTTATATTTAGGTTGCTACAAACCACCGAAGGTGAATTATATAGTTTTTAATCCGAAACAAGAATGCCAAAAGCTTATTCTGATTTAATTGAATTGGGGTGAGGGGTGGGGATGTACTTTGTTTTATTAGGCAGTTTAAACCTACTGAACACACATAGACCTTTGGCACTAGAATCAAACCAAACTCATACTTTGCCTGAAACACATACTTCACTATTTGAAAGTCCTTAGCCAGTAAACTAAATAGATATTACTAATATAAAATATGAGTAATATTTTATATGTATGGAACTCAACACTTTATAATAAAATGAAAATGCACAAAAATCAATGATTGAATATTAAAACAAACATTTATCATACTGACAATTTGAGGGCACAAACAAAACTTTCAATTTGTCAGAATGACTGGTTTTTATTAAGGATATTAAAGCATTTCATTGTGCCTTGTTTGAGATGTACTTCTTACTTCTGGGTTGTTTACATTAATCAAAGGTAATATTGCCATAAAACTTCTGTGACATGTCTTAAATTCACTTCAATAAAGAATTTTTGTACACAGTATTGTATCTACTCACCTCTATGTAATCTGTGGGACATGGACAAGAATTCTCAGCCTTTCCTGAAATTAATTCTGCCAAAGGTGGGCACCAAGAATATTCAGCTGAATGCATGTCATCTTTCTAGAGAAAAATGGATTAAACAATGTTGAAACAAGTGGTGTGTTTTTCATACCGCCCATTGAAAATACATTACTATGATCATCATCATTTTATGATGTCCTCCCTATCACTTCTAGATCAGCTTTTTTACATGAGAGTATGGGGGGGAAAAAAAAAAAAAAAAGAAAGAAAAAGGATATAACCCAAACTGGGTGGCCTTGTCTAAAAGCTTTTTCATGGCTGAAAGACTTTTTGTTTATACTAGGTAAACAACTTTTGAAACAAATGAATACCTGCCAAGATATTGAGAAACTGAGCAATCACAAGGCCTATATTGGTCTGTTATCACAAACTGTCAGAAACAAAGAATGGCAGTTTCAGGTCTTCGTTGTTAGACTTCTTGTTACACAAATTATTTCAGACAGAACATGGTTACATATCTAGAACATCTGGTTTCCATTTCAGGGTGCATTTTTTGTGTTTGCCTTTTAGCACTGATCACAAGACATGTGCAAAGAAGACATCTTCCTTATGGACAGCAGCTCCTTTGCTCTTCTAGCTACCACTGCAAGACTCCACTGAAAGGGCCTGCACTTAACAGGAAAGGGAAGGAACAACAGGAGAAAAAGGAAAATGTTCTCCTTTCACCCCTCCTTGCCATTAAGCCTCACAGAGCTAACCAAAATACAATTTTGGAGCTACATTATTCTTTTTATAGACTCTTCTTCAAAGTCTTGAAGGAAAGACTGGTAGATGGATGAGGAAGCCCTGATTGCATATTCCATTGGAACTGAACTTGCACCCACAAAATCAAGAGGAAAATGCATGCTCAAAAAATAAATCAAAGGCGCAGTTATTCAGAGTTTGGTTTGTAACTTCAGGAGAAACAGAATCAAAGTTGTCATGCAAACTTCAAAGTTTATCTTTACTTACTGGCATAGGGTCACTTCTTGTGGCAATTTCTAGTAAAATGATGGCATAACTGCAAAATAAAAGCAAACCGAAATCTTAATGAAATAATAGTTAACAGAGTCAGTGATTTCTTCTTGCCATGATTTCTTTTCGTTCCTCATTTTATGACTGAAAGCCCAGTATCCCAAAAGGGAGGATGGCAACACTGCGGCTATCTGTTACTACTCTTGTGTTTTCAGAGATCTGCCACTGATCATTTCATAGCAGTCTCCTCTCATGTATCAGTCTCAGAGATGAAGCATTTGAGTTTGATGGACAGCAAGGCAATTTTCCCTGGAAGAATTAATGGAATCCAGAGGGGATATGTGCAGGGACTTACATGATACCTACCAATTAAACATACATGACAGGTTTATGCTGTAATCAAGGGATGCAGGACCAGGTTCATCTGGATCATTAGCTGGAGGAGTGGCTTCTTTTCATCACAGATCACTGCTCTGGAAAATCTCCATAAGTCAATGTTGAGACAGCGTGTCCAGAGTAAATCTTTTACAGTAAGTGTTTTGCTCATTCTTTCTGAATTGTGGTTTCATCATCACCATCTTCCTCAGATGAACCAAGATCAAACACATTCATCAAGGGTGATGAATGGAAAAAATGGAGTAACAACTGGGTGTTCAGTCTCCTTATTGAACTCACTATAGATCTTTTAGAACAGTGATGTCTAAGAAGCCAGCACCTCCTCCAGCCAGCAATTCTGATAAAAATGCTCTTGCCTCTTCATGTATTGAAACTGTGTAATAATTAACTCCCTACATGCATCTCTACTTGATAAAATTTATTTTTATGGAGAATATTTGTTTGCAATCTGTTGCATTGCTAATGGTTGCTCTGTTCTGTAAGGCATTCTAGCTGTACAATGGGGTATGTCTATCTATCTTTCAGTCCACTCATGGACCACCACTGGCAAATAAAATAATTCATATAAACCATGCTGAATAATGTAGAAATTAATCTGATAAGATTTTTATGTTAATTTGGGGGTGATTTGTAGTAGAAAGGAAAACCAATCCTGTTAAGACAGAAAAGCTGAAGCAGATTTTCAAGGATAGTAATTAGATAATGGTAACTCTAATAAAACAGTATTGATCTCATTCAGCTTCAGCAGTACTGCTCAGAAAAGTCCAAACATAGTGGACAGTGAAATTCACATAACGATTACAAATCAAGAGGAGCCAATCTAGGAGAAACTGTGACTGTAAACAGCTCAAACAGGGGCTGCTTTCATGTTCCTGTTCTCATTTCCATTTTAGCTTTCCCATCTGACCAACACATTCCCTGGACAACTTTAAAAGCAAGTGATTCATCTTTAAGAGCACACAAAATTACAAGTCTCACCCCTGCCATTTCCACTGCAGGGCCATACCTTCAGCAAAATTAATGGAGTTTTTGCACAGATAAAAACTGAGGATTTCAAGACTTGGACACCGCTCCCTGGCCAGCAAGCCCACATACATGTATCAGGAAGGCTTACCACCTGCTCATATCATCGAACACAAACTGTTAAAATGCATGTTCTGAAGAATAGCTCAGTTAAAAAGACAACCCTTTTAATGCTACAGGGCACATCTCTAGCTTTCTTCCCTGACTGCACATTGCTCTTCTCCCTTTTCTGATTTCATCTCTTACTTCATTTCCTTTTTTACCAAAAGGAAAAAGAATTAACTGTAGGACAACAAAAGAAGAGCTGAATTTTGCAGACACGGGGACTTACAGCAATATAGATTCAGCAAGCATTCACTGAATCTGTCAAAAGTTCATTGCAGTCATCAATGATAGGAGCAAATTAGTTCTTGGCACTATTTTAAGCGGAGTCCTTGGCAAGAAACGGCTTCAGGAGGCCAGGTTGCCTGCAAAGTTAAGTAATGATATCTAACCCGAACAGGTGCAAAGTGCGAACCAGACAGGCACCAAGGAAACATTTTCTAGGATGCATTTTGGCTGTGGGACAATGATAAACCGCAATGCATATGACAATCCTAAAATTACTGCTTAGTTGGAGCACAGTAGTTTCTAAGACCGTTCCATGCTGAAAAAGACCAACACAGAACAAATAACAATAGCCAGAAATATCCACACAGTGACAAACTACCTTTAGCTGAGCTATTTTGAAGCAAATTCTAAGGGCATGTTTAAGCCTATAGATATAAATATTATTGAGACCTCAAATTCTTACTTACATAATCTGATAGAATGGATTACAATTAATAATGTTCTAGCACACTGTATATGCATACATTTCTTTACAAAGGAATAATGTGCATTAATCCACTAAATCTTATATATAAAATCATGTCTTCAGTCATTATAATTTTTAGTGAGTCCTAACTGAAAAAAAGGGGAAGACCTAACAGCATTTTCTGTTCCTGCAACTAATTTTTCAATAAAAGTCCGATAATAGTCAATTAAGTCAGTAATCATTTGTTGTGGCCTTGTGCAGGCAAGAGTAAAACTCAGGGCTTTGGATAAAAGGCAATTATAGCTACTCTTTGGTAAATGTTGTTAAACAGTGCTAATAACCATCCTGCCTTCTGCTCAACTGTGTTGCAATATCAGCATTTCAATCTCTAATTGAATTCCAGTTCTTTACATTCTGCTAGCTACCACAGTCAACAGGAAATAGAAGACTCCTGCTGCGCTGGGAATGTGGCAAGAAAAAGTAAGAGAAAAGGGTCACAAAACATCTTATTGTACCATCTTGAATTTTCCCTTTCAAATGCTTTCAGCAAACTACTGGAAATAAGCAGACAAAGTATGATTGTTATGAAACAAAATACACCAAGAACACAGTTGTTTTCCTACTTAATACAGAAAATTCATGCAAGAACCAAGAAATATAGGTATTTTTTAAAAAATAACTAGTTTGATGACTTTTTCATTGGATTATTATTCTCTGAAAATTCAATTGTAATCCCACTTATCTGAAAAGTGATTGAATAGAAGCTATCCATCACTGGCAAGGCTAAACATGATAGCCAAAAAAGCCATTGCAAAATGATCTACTATAAAGGCTTCCGAAAGGAAAGGGATGGAGCTATTCACTAGTGCATCCATTTCCTTTTCCTACCTCTATTTTTTCTCTACAAACCAAATATTGCCACTGTGTCTACGCAGCAAAATAATGTGTTGACACTATAGAATTATGGCATGCATACGTGCATTATGACATTCTGGAAAACTAATGGTATTAACTTTTAAGGTATTGAAAATAATCTAGTTTTTCATATGAAACAGCAATAAAAAAGGATTACTAGACAATAGCAGATTTTTATACCTTTTTTATCTACCAGTCCAGAGGAAATCCTTATAGATCATTAGACCAGCTCTGCATTTATATAATGTTGGTGAATTCAGTATTTGGTTATCTATTTTGAATAAGAAGATTCTGTGATATCTATGCTGTTCTGTGTTCCAGGATAAATCCTTTTTAAAATACAAGCAAACATATACCTGGGGTGACCATAGAATTACACTGAGCCTAATTGTGATTAAAGAATACTTGAGATGACATTATTAAGTGTAAGAAACAGGAAAAGTTAACTACCTGTAGACATCTGTCATAGAATTAGGTTCAAAGTCTGAAAGAGAATGAATTTCAGGAGCTGTGTAAATCTGTATCAAATGCTGCTGGAATGAGCTTGACCCCTCAGGAGAATCTTCTTTTCTGTATGATTGTAAACCATAATCTAACATGGAAGAAAAACAGGAAGCAAACTCTTCAGTGGGTACTTCTCTGAAGTCCATGCATTAGTAGACAGTAACACAACCAGTCTAAAGGAATTAATTTTCCCTATTTGAAATACACCTCTTAGTCCAAAAATAGTGTGTGTCTGGTAGTCTTGTCCCTCTAAACCAATTGCAAATACAGGATCTGGAAACCAAATATTTGGGTAAGATAGCATCACATCAGGGAAGTTGAACTACATGGCCCCTTCCAAACAGAATTATTTTGTGATGTTATAAGATTTTATTCAGAGAATAGGCTCACTTCAGTGCAGGAGTTAGCATGCAAATGCAGGTTTCTGTTCTACTTGTCCTCTGATACTTATCTGTGGCAGCAGATTGCCAGACTAGTTACAAGTTAGACTAGAACTACCCAAAATCAGATGGTGGGCTTTACTTGCACACCACAAACTTCAGAACAAAGGCAGCATAAATGTGAAAAATCTTTGCAGCTATACTTTTAGCATAACATAGAAGGGCATGTGACTCAGCATTGGAGAGGAGAAAAAAACAACTGACTTCAGCTTTCTTTCTGATATAAACAGCACTCTGCTGAGTGTATGGGGAGGCAGGATACAGATGTCTGGTTTTGTCTGGAGTGACCTCTGATTAAGATGGTCCTAGAGCTTCATTCTTTATGTTGGAGGTCATTGGAGTTTTTCACATAACTCACATATTGTTTATTTGTGAGGTTTGTTTAACATTATTGCATCCAGATAAACCATGAATATTTGAAGTCTCGACAGCGTGACTAGTTAACTTCTCAACAATTTCAGAGAGATTCCATTTAATTCAGAGGAGCTGTGCTAAGCTGATGTAATCTATCTCCATTTTTTATGCTTTTCCCCAGAACAGGCTCTAAGCAAAGGAGGCGGTTCTGAAGGCAGCAGGATACTAGCTGAGTTGGAGAAGCAGTCATGGCCCTGTGTAGGAGCCTTAGTCATAGGATGAACCATTGAAAGACAAATCTGTTGCTGCTGTTTTTAAGATGGCTGTGGGTTATAGAATGTGATAACTACTTTGGGGAAGAAGTAGAAGAGATGATCATTGCTTTCATTCTCTTTGGCAGCTGCAAACTAAACTAGACTCTCTAGTTGTTTTCCTGTCCCAACAGGCTGTCTTCCTGTACCAGGAGCAGACCAGACCTGAAGCTCTGTCTCTGGGAGAATACAATGCAGTTTTGTGTACAGGACTGAAAAACTCTGAGTTGAGTCTGCTTTTCTCCATGAAACTACCTTGTGTTTACCAATCAGTCAACATTATTCCATGTCTTCACAGCACTGTCCATGGCTCAGGTTTTCTCTCTGTATCAAAACTAAGAATGTGACAAAGTTTCTGCTCAGACCGATGCTTGATAGACTCCATCATTTGTGGGATCGGATGTGTGTGTCAGTGTTACATGTTAAATGACTTGGCATGATAATGTAACATGAAACTTGCTTCAGCACCGGGCATTTCTAGTGAAGGCTGGCATAGTCAGCATTTCCACATGAAATGTCAACTTGAAGGTGCTTGGGAGGAGTGTTGAGTGTGAAATCTATATGCACTAGTGGGTTAGCTGGACAGTTTTGAAATTATGTTTCTTATTTTCTCTTTACCTGCAATTTTACAAACCCATCGGTCATCTATCACACAGTTACTAGACTTCAACCGTCCATGATACATTTTGTGGTGGTGAAGATAGGCCATTCCTTGTGCAATATCAGTAGCAAAAGAAAACCTGAAAGACAAAAATCAATGAGCTAGTATTTCCACTAAACCTTCACTCAGGAGTAGCTCCAAAGTCTACTGAAGTTGACAGAAGGCCTCCATATAACTGCAATAGCTTTCAGTTTGTGTCCCCAAGCTCATTTTTCAAAATACTTAAGGTTGTTACTGAAAGCCCTTAACTCCCACTCAGTTGTCTGAGTCCACAGGCCTTTAGCCTCTTTAAAGACAATTGAGTTTCGTCTAGAAATTCCCAGTATGTTCGTATCCTTGAGAGTACTTTCAAATGTTTACAAGAAGAACAATTTTTTATTAACTTTCTCACTTTATTTGGAGGGTTTTCTCCCTTACAGTCTTTCTTTGCTGAAGGCAAACATAAGGCAGATTTGCCAAGTAGACTATTCTCAAAAAACAATGTTATTGCCTTTGTGGAAGTTTCATTGACAATCTGAGCTCATTTTCTGTATTGGTAAATATAATACAGTGCTTGAGGGTATGCTAATCATTTCACCAATATGTCTTCACAGAGATGCAGTGATTTTTAATTAAATGGGGATGCCCAAGATATTTGGGAACAAAATGAAGTTACATGGGGAAAAAGGTTTAAAAGCAGTTTTGCAGTATAACCAGAGATGGGTTGAAAAGTCATTGGCTTAGCATGACCAGTGCTAAACATGATTGCTCAAAAATCCAGAAGACAAGTTGGGCTGGACATTTGAATTTGCTTTCTCTTTCTTTTCTTTCTTTCTTTTCTTTCTTTCTTTCTTTTTCTTTCTTTCTTTTTCATTCTCTCCATATCACAGTGCAGGCCTGTCTATCCAAGGACTTTATCTAAAATTAACAACTTATCCTAAAGAACACATAGCACAGTTTGTGTCATTTAGCTTTTCAGAAGTTTTTTTTCTACCTGAAGCCCCAGTTCAAAGGAATGTCTTCATTGAGCAGAACATCATTCAGGCTCCCTTTGGGGCAGTACTCTGTCACTATGGCAACATTAGGCACTTCTATACAACCTCCAATGAATTTGCAGAGATTGGGATGATCAAGTTCCCTGCAAAAATCAACAGAAATCACAGCATACCAGCAATTTTCATAGATGTCCTTCCTGCTTTTTGTAGGGTAACTGAAAAACCACGTGCCTTGTCTCACAATGCAGAGAGAAAAGTAAAACAGGCATAAGAAGATTTTCATCTCGTGTCAAAGCAAAGTTTGAAAGAAAGAGGAATAGGAATTTACAGTCACATTTTGAGAGATTGTAACTCCTAAAGCACCAGTGTAAAAATGGAACAACATACACTTCTCAGCTTTCATTTCTTACCTTACTTGCTTCACTTCTTTACGTATGGATTTGGACAGTGTGAATGCCTTCTTCATTATTTTCTTTACGGCCACTGTTCTACCATCACTGAAACAGAATGAAATACTGTTTACAGAGTTTTAGGCCAATTTCATAAGCCAGACACACTACCAAAATTGAATGGGTACTTTTTTCTACAGTAAGCATGTCCATATGTGGGTGTAAATCCGGATCTGAGTACATGGCAGGTAACAGGGTCCTGTTTCTATGATAAGGGAAGTTTTAGTGATTATATTCAAACATCCTTGATCTGTGAAAGACATTTGGAAGATGAGAGTGTTAGAATTAGTTGAAGCAGTTGGAGGATGGAGGAGCAGCAAAGGAAACGCCAGAGTGAGTGAAACATATACAGCAACATCCCTGCTATCTGTTGCTTCTGTCTACCGTTTTGGAGATCCGTCACTGATATTTAACATCTTTTAATTCACAGAATGAAGCACACTCATCCATGAAGCAGCTGAGTTTGATAGACAGAAAAGGAATTTTCCTTGGATGAATAAAGGAATCCAGTGGAGATACATGCAGGAGTTTAAGTGATACCCACCACATAAATACAGAGTATGGGGTATGGGGTCTGTGGTGTAGCAGATGTAGGTACTTTGCCAATAAGACCGAATGCCTCATTCTCACATCTTTCACTCTTGATGAATCTATTTGACCTTGATTCATCTGAGGAAGATGATGATGATGAAAATGTCATCATTCAGAAAAAAGCAGCAAAAATGCTCACTGTAAAAGATCTATGCTGGACACAGTGTCTCATCAATGAAGTGGCTGTGACTTTCCAGAACAGTGATCTATGCTGAGAAGGCAGCTGCTTCCCCAGCTGATGATACTAAGTAAGCTCCTCTATCCTGCAAAGCACAGATCATGCCCCATGTAATCAAATGGTAGGTATTACTTCCATCTTGTACTACCCCTATCCCCTAATTATGTTATTTTTATGGGGAAAAAATTGCTTTCTGGATAACAGGATATGGCTATACTGTTTGCCTGTATAGTTATATGATGTGCACCTTTATAAAGTGCACATTCAGAGGTGAAATGTTCTGTATCTTCAGCCATGTCAGCTGGTTTAAGGACAAGCCTTTTAACAAGTCCCTAAGAGAAAAAGAGAAATGACAACCAAAACAGCAGCCTGGCACATAAGATATTCCACAGCCAGTATGTGGTACAGAAGTCAGATGATGATATTAACTTACAGGATTTGGCCTAACAAAAGAAATACAAGCTTTTGCACTACCTCTTAACAGTAAAGTGGCAAGAACGAGAAAGCAAGATGAAACTATAGTATAGTAGGCACTGCAGTAAATGAGTAATATATTGACTTACTATCTCGCTGTCTGGGTGAAGTACTGTTTCCTGGACATGTCAGCAGTGGCTGTGCAGGAGCTCAGAGCAGTGATACAGCTGGCATTGGAGTCACCGGGTGCTGGGGGAGCACTCATCATGCTTCCTGTTGCTGTCTGTACTATGCAATCTAAATGGGATGTGGGATGAGAAAAGGCACCTGAAGATGTGTGTTATTGCCAGGGTAGAGGCTCCAGAGGCAGATAAATCCAAAGAATTCTCCAAATCTTTGCATCTCAGCTGGTCTTGTCAACACTTAAGACAGAAAGTCATTGCTTGGAATATGACTGCTGCATAAAAAGAAAAAACTTCCAGAAGTCATTCATTGCCAGAGATCTTTCCCACTAATCCTCAGGATTTGATGCAAGTTTTGTTTCTCTGCTCTTGGGATGATTGGCCCTTGCTGCTACTTAGATGCCAAGGACAGAACCTAGGGAAGCAGAGCAAGCCCTGTGCCATACTTTAACAAGTCTATTTGGAGCTCCTAGAATACTGTAAAGTACAGGGATGTGGGAAGTGATTCTGACACCAGAGGGAAGTCAGAGAAGAGCAACAATACAGTCAGATGAAAAAAAAATCAGGCATCCCAATGTATGTTTTTTAATCTCTCTTAACCATCTCAAGGTAACAAAATGGATTTCAAGACAAATTTAATGAATTACATATCATTTCACCATCTCCTACTAAACTCCAGATTTAGCCAATTAGTCTCAGCATTGCTGAAACCTCTCAACTCTCCCGGGTATCAGTATCCAATAAAGTGTTGCTAAGGAAGTTCAGCATCTCACCTTGCATCAGGACTGCCATGTTCCCACACCACAGTATTATTCATATGCAGTTCAAAATTGCCTTGATATTTGGAGTCTTTCTATAGCATTCCACCCAGAAATATATTACAAATCCCTGAGATGCCTTCGAGAATAAGAGTGTGTGTATATATACATATGTATATATATATGTATATATGTGTGTACATATATGTGTGTGTGTGTGTATATGTATATACGGTGCAATGGGCCAAAAAAACCAGTTATCTTGAAAAAATAAAGCTAAGTTTTCACAGTACAGGCTACATACCCTGGATATAGCACTGCTGATGTGTTTCCATTTAGAGAACCATACATTTCAGGCCTCTGTGGGTATCTCTGGACAGCTCTGATACTGTCTGTTTCCAAACCTCATCATATTATCAGTCCTCATTACGATTAAGTTGTTATCACTCCTAGGTCTTAAACAGTATCGCTGCTTCACAGGCTCCTCTCCAAGAAAACGCTGTCTTTCATCTTGGATTTTTCACACTAATTTTTAATGTGTTATTTTTTGATCATGCTTCTAATTTCCCTCAGTCTCTGCTGTTTCTTCTTCCATGTCATATTTATGACCTCTTCTAATTCACTATCATCAGCTGAAAATTTGCTCATGTTCCTTTTTGCTATATTGAGAGACGCTTTTCCTTGAGTGTTCCATTTCTGTTTTCACAAATCTGGATTGAAATTCAGTTTGGTTTACATACCCAAATTAATTTCTAAGCCAACATCTGTTCTTTACAGCAACAAGGATATCATATTAAAACTACAGAGAAATCAACATTAAAGTCCAAGGCTGACAGTAACTCTATATTAACACAAGCATTTCTTGACACTTCTACTAGCAACACAATGACATAACACAGACAAAGCAGACATCTTTCTAGCAATTCCTCACAGAGACAGAAAGTGAGAGAGTGTACATCAGCACAGACCTATTAACTTCAGCAGATTTCTACAGATTTACCCTTTCTGAGGGTCTGGGCATTGTTTTCGTTCTGAGTGTTAAATAGCAAAGTAAATAATCTATACCTATTTTAACTGCAGCACAGTAAAACATATAATAACATCTGATTTTACTCTTAACATGTTTAATTAGAACCAATTAAATAATTTTTGATATCCAGAAGGTAAAATGAAAAAAGCTCTGGCCACAATGAATCACTTTTGCAGCAAGTCTGTCATGGATAGCATACACTGAAAGAAATTATGATTTCATTATATCCTTCATTATATTTGTGCAAATCCAGGGCAACTTAGGGAGACCAATTATACACAATGATACATCCACTGAGGCAACTGTAATTTATTTTGTCCAAGTCTAGAGGTTATACGTTTATTTTGGCATATGCCTAACTTTTTAAATTGCCAAATACCGTAAAAAAAGGAAACTATTTAAAATAACTATGATATGTAAAGTTTCAATAAACAAAATATCAGTGATCAGCTCATAGAGGTTACAGGCATGAACCTTTGGATATATTTTTCACAAATTGGTTCACCTTTTGTAAGACCCTTGAAACATGACGATGTACTTAGGATTGAGATTATCTCTCAAAATTATTAAGGAAACTGATCATATTATCAAAATGACAAGTTACTAACCTTGTTTAATGCAAGTGAAGTCTATAATCCAGCTTTCATCCCAAAACATCTTTTGTTTCTGATACTGAAACCACTACAAAAATAAATGAAATTAATTCCTCATGTAACCCTACTGATTTTGAAGGAATTAAAACAGAAATTATTTTTTTCAAATATGAAAGTTTATAAGTATCCAAGAAAAATCTGTTTAAGCATCCAATGTATATCTTATGAGTAACTTTAGAACCAGAAGTATTAATAACGGGCTTAAAAGGAAACAGCATCTAATAAATACCTTTAAAACTGTACATTTTATATTCTAGAATCTAATTACATGCCATATTTTGCATTGGGTACAAACTCTCCATTCTTGGAAATACTTCTTATGCACTACGTTTCATCTCAGCCTGGACATCAGATGAACAGTTTACATCACCTCGTGTCATGGAAACATCCTATGCTATGCAAGTGCATGACAAGAACACACTACATCCCAACCCTAAGATAAGGATCAGTACATCTTATATCCTGTAATAAAATTAGCCCCCAATCCACAAATGAGGTCATATCATGTCAAATATTCTAGCATAAAGAATATTAGGTAAGGATTCTGTGGCTACTTTGTAAAGAAGGCATCAACCTAATAGCTGATTTTCTGTACAGCTGACATGCAAAACTAATGCAGAAAATGTTAAACACATGCTTTCAAAAGAGGAGCAGCAGATTAAATTATACAGCTGTTATAGCTGCAGTCAATGCCAAAATGTCAAACCAAAGCAGCATTATACAGTTTTCTATAGTGTGGAATTTAATATTGAAACAGGTAACAAAAGCCCAGATAATACACAAGGAACTTTGTGTGGAGATTGTGTTGATATTTTTGTAGACATTTATGACAAATATAGAGCTGACTGAATCAAAATCATCCTGTTTATTTCAACAGGTTTCTAAGAAAAGAAAGACACCTACATCTTGCAAAGGTATGACCGAATGAAGACATAGTAGCTAGAAGTGACCACTAGGCTGGCTATACACACTGATATTAAAGGAATCCTCTTCTCAGCTTGAATGATTAAAGAAGGCATTAGTTTCCCAGATGGTTCTTCTTACATGTTAATAATTACTGGATTGGATAAAAGTAACTTTACTATCTTGTTTACTTATCACCTAAATAAAACATAAAAAAAGAAGATGCTACTGCAGATGTTGGCAAGAATAAGTATACAGAAATGCAAGCAGAAAAAAAGTAAACCTCAAAACCTATAGAAAAATAGCAGAAATATTAGGTAAATTTTGCTACAAGACCTTTAGATAAACCTATGCAAGACAAAGAAACTTCATTACTCTTTCTAAAATGCCAACTGTTTAAAACTATCTGAACTTCTCATCTGTCCAATTACACATTTCTATCAGATCATATGGTTTTACAGGACAGATACTATAAACACATCGCAACAGCTGCCCTGTGGATTATAAATACTCAAATAGTTTTCAACAGTGCTTCTGTTCCTAACTCACAAAGCCACACAGAGAGGCACAGAATACAGGAAAAAACCTAATTGTGATTCAGGCCTCCTATAGTACCTTACTTGGTGGCCTATCAGTCTTCTGTTCATTCCCTCTCAGTGCACTTGCCTAACTCAGATGCTCACTGCAACTGTAGTACAAGATGGAAAAAGAAGGAATCCCTGAGGAAAGAGGAGCCTATCAATTTACAGGATTTATAGGCCAGCCCCAAATAAATTATCTGTTATGTACACAGTCAATACAGTGACTCTACAACTGCCATGTTCACCTGCTAAATCATTGTTATGAAAATCAGAAATGTATTTTTATTCAAGATGCAGACACATAAGGAATGGAGATCCTCTTTCCAAGGAGCACTGTGAAATAATAAGCCATAATAGAATGCTGTCTCTTCTTTATACATTTTCTTTCAAAGGTATCCAAAATTACTTCTCTCATACACAGTCCTCTCTCCTCATTCTGTTTTTGTTTTTGGCTTCATAAGCCTGTTACAATAATTGATAACTATTATGCAAAATTAATCACTTTGAACTAAACCAAACTGGTTCAGCTACACTAAGAAAATGAGCCTATAAAAAAACAACAAACAAAAAGCCAGAAAAAAAAGACAAAGATCCTCTTCTCATTATTTCTTTTCAGAATATCCCAAATTGAACATTTTCCATTATAAGTTGTATTTGGACTCTGAGGTTTAACGGCCTCTAGCGGAGCTAATCACTTTATGAATTTACCTGATTTGTTTTTTTAGTTAATTTATACTTCTGGCCTCCATAGGGTTTTTCATAAGTTAATTTCATAAGAGAGTTTTAGTCTGAGTGAAAAGTACTCTTACTTTACTGGCAATCCCCAGTTCCCATGTTGTGAAAAACCACTTCTTTCTTTACCATTATATATCTGTCTGTCTGTTACATTCCTGTTCAGTCTTCTCTCTTACAGGATGAAAATTCCTAGCCCAATGAGCCTCCCCTCATAAAGAAGCCAAAAAGGTTGTTTCCCTTCCTTCTGTGTTTGTTTTGTTTTGTTTTGTTTTGTTTTTTTCTTCTACAACACACAGGTTCTGGATTTGGAAGAAAAATCTATCCTTCTACTAAAAGAGAGCTCCACTCTAACCAACCAAATCCTGGAAGCAAGAGAAAGGAAATACAAGAGGAGAAAGAGGATACTTACCATGACCGTCACAATGA